GGGGCCTGAGAGCACAGCTAAATGCACAGCAGTCTATTTTCACCAGGCCCAACAACAAGAGCAAGGCTGCTACCATAGCATCTTATCGTGTCAGTCACGTTCTTGCGAAACACATGAAGTCTTTCAAAGACGGCGAAGTTGTGAAAGAAGCTTTCCTGGAGGCTGCGACGCGCTTTTGTGGGACAGTAAAAATAACAGCAGCATTTTCAACAGGTTTTTGATATAATAAAAACTCAAGTTAGATACCGTTATTAATCTGCTGTAAGTTTTAGTTTGTTTGAATTTATTCATGATAATTATTGTACAAAATGGTATAAGAATGCAAACATTAAGATCTGTTCTGTTTAAATTGATTATAGTCTATCAGTTCAGAAACTAGTGTTGCTTGCATCCTATTTTAAAGGCATTTCTTTTTATACTCTAATAAAATGCAACAAAAAATGGGTTTGATTCTATTAATGTTGTCTTTTTTATTGCACTGTTGCTGCAGCAGATTCCTGTGTAGCTTCAGATCTGAGTTGTCTTATTAGTAAGCCTAATTTATACTTTTGTAGCAACACTATTTTTATATAATGGCAAAGAAAGGGTTCCTCAGAGTCTTTTCTTTTTTTCCTGTGTCATATGTGGCAGCACTGCCACAAGTTCCTCTTCAGAGAGGGTCTTCAGTACAGGTGGCAATATCGTCCCCTGCCTGCGCTCATCTCTGAAACCAGACCATGTAAACAGGCTGGTATTTCTTGCAAAAAATCTTTAAGAGATGACATGAGCAGTCCCTACCAGCATTTGCCATGGTGGCCTAAACATTTTTATTTGGTCTTAAATTGTAGTTCAACATTTATTTCCTGTTACTTCTGGACCATGACGGTGGGCCAGCCTTCAACGTTTAACTGAGTGGAATATGTTGAATATGTTTTACCAAAATGTTGGCTATATGTTAAGGAGTTTTCAGTAGGTTGTGACAGTGCACTGCAACATATTTGATTTCATTTATTTTGGTCTAATTTATTTTTATTTATCATATTAATATATGTTTAGTATGGTTTTGGAAGTGCGCTCCAACATATTTGTTGATCTTGTTTATTGGTAAAATATTATTTGTTTTAAAGTTCAATAAATGGTCAATGAATAATCGTCAAAATAATCGTGATATCAATTATTGACCAAATAATCGTGATTATGATTTTTGCCATAATCGCACAGCCCTACTAGATTCATCAGAATTTGACAGGAATACTCTACAAACTGTAAAACACACATCTTTATTTATTTCATTTATGTCACTATGTTCATGTATATGTACGTCTTGACATGTTAAGCAATGTAAACAGAAGTATTTGATAAGTATTTTATATTCATTTGTAATATTCCTTAATAAATGCAAAAGTGAAAGAAAAATATATAATCACAACAAATCTTAATACACGTTGTTGTTGTTGTTATTATTATTATTATTTTATACATATTGTGATAGCATTTTCGTCCATATTGTCCAGCCAGATCTAGTTAAATACAGCCATGTTCCCCAGATGATGAATCTAATGGCGCGTTTCCACCGCAGGCCTCGCTCGGTTTGGTTAGGCCTTATTAGGCCCGGCTCACTTTAATGCTGCGCTTCCATTACAGTTTAGGAACTGGGGTAGTTACTATAGTAACGCAGTGTAGGCGGAGCCGTGACGTCATCTTCAATGAGAGCCCCAGAAAAACAACACAGCCGTTAGCTCTTAGCACTCAGAGCTCACAGCTCTTCATATCTGTTCAGAAACTAGACAAAAGTTAAACAAGTACAAACCACAGACTGCCTGTGTCATGGCGAATACAGTCGCTGGTTTATTTATGTCTGTATAGGCCGTTGTTGTGAGTGTGGACTAGGGCTGTAGCAATACACTAATCTCACGATACGATACACGATATTCAGCCAACGATACGATATATATCACGATATTCAGCCAACGATTCGATACGATTCGATATAATTCGATACACTTATATCATTTTCTGAAAGATTTTAAAGGGACAGTGTGATTTTGGTGACATCTTGTGAGTGTTCCATTGACTTGGATTGAATTAATTCAACTGAAAACTGAAAGCATCAATTATACAATATATGGCTCTGACAGAGAGTCTACAGCTTGCAAATGCTGGACAAAATGAATCAAAAGATGTCGTGAGAAAATTAGTTTCATTTATTGAAACAGTGCAAACTGTAGCTTACAAGCCTTTGAAACGTAAGTACATAAAGGGCAGTATCACAATGGACAATGGAGAATTAAAAGGTGCAGCAGGTGGCGGAACACGGGGGATTTGAATGGGACTTGTTAGAAATTAAAATCAATGTTTTGATGGCATAAAGTACCTTAAACATACCGTCAGTTTAAATGCTGTTTTATACTGAAAAACCAGAAGTTCTTGTGCACAACCAGTTGTTAAGCTTTTATTCTGAAAATCCTTCATCTCCGGTTAGCATTTAGCATGTGGCTAATATACCATTTACTATAGATATATTTAGTAGCGATATGACACGGAGTGTTGCACACCGAAACCTACTGATTTCAACACTACAACTATAGACGTCGAGATATTATTATTACTGAATATTAAATGAAGGTACAGTTTATTTGAATACGTTTGTTTACAGACGTGGGTAGCATGAGACAACATTCGGAACTACCGGAAATGATACCAGCCGTGAAGTATTTTTGGAGTATTGATTACAGCGTTTAAAATGTATGAAATGAAAAGTCATGAAAGAGTTAAGGAGGAGAAAAGGCGTGTTTAGTTATATATTTAATGTACAATGTCTGAATCCTCTGTAATGCGTAACAACGAACATTGGAGACGTGGAGGGCCGGCCCCCAGCAGCGCCAACCGGCCCACAGGGAGGAGCCAGCAGAGGATATTTAACAGCTGGAAAGGTGGAGCTCGCTCTCTTCCCTTCACTCAGGAGAACCAGAAAACAGCTGTTTTTCTGACTGAACCATCTTCTGTTTGTAACATTACCGCGCTTTTTATTAATTAAAGTATACATTTGAACCTTCTCAGAGACTCAATTAGTCTCCTTTTTAAAGCTTCTCTCCTGGACGCGAGAATAACGAACACAGTTATCAGACTTAATGTATCGATACCCGCGGCTGAAATATCGATACTTTCTCGGAAAACTAAATATCGATATATATCGCAGGATCGATTAAATTGCACAGCCCTAGTGTGGACGGGCGTAAAAATACGCATTTTAAAAGGGTTTTTCGCCTGCTGTCTGTCAGCATTCATTCATGGTTTTTACTAACCGGTATCAGTATGTTGTTACTTCGGCATCATTTTGAAACGTGTATTACAATTAAATCACGGTCAAATATGTTCATCTTGTTGTAGTTGTAGCCCCCTTGCCAGCGATTCTCTCTCTAGTTTAGCATACTCAGCCCGACTCAGCCTGGTTGTTCCTGGCCCTAGAACCACGATTTTATGGGGCCAGAAAAACTGTGAATTAGGACCCGCTAGCCGGTACTAGGCCAAGTGGAAACGCAACCAAAAACGGGCCCCGCACGGCTAGGCACGCTTAAAGCGAGCTACCCGCTGCAGTGCAAACGCGCCATTACTGACTTGCAGCACCATTCATTTTTTTTTGCCTGGTGGATTTTTTGTTAAAGTGGACCTATCATGCTATATTTGAATAATATATTGTAGGACCTATATAAAACATGTCTGCGAGGTTTTTTTTTTCAAAATACCAAACAGATCATGCATTTTAGCCATCCCTCATTTCGCCCTATTTGTTATTTTTTAGCCCTGTTTTTGCACGGGCTGATTCTGTGAGAAGTCTTCTTCGCTGCTTTTGTGGCAGACTACAGCGCCACCTACAGGCCTGGCATATATGTACTACAGCGTCTCCAGCGCATTCAAACGCAATGGCCGTCTCCTCCTGATAGTCTGTATCAGATCCGTTGCAGCCCCGTTTTTAGAGATTTGGGTATGGAGGAAAAGAGAGAGGGTTGTGTTTTCTGACACTTGGTGAGTTCCCTGACACACCGGGGACACATATTCATGTATAAGAGACGTACAAAGGTGCATTTTGCATGATAGGTCCACTTTAAATTAAGTACACATATTCTTTTCTGTTTGTCAATCCAAGCCCAAATTGCTTGAAGATTTTTTAATTTGAACAGAAATTGTTCTACTGTTTACCATGCAAACATTGCAAAACAAATTATATAGTTGCCTTCAAATCCTGTATTAGAGTATTAAAAACATTGTTTTGGGGTATTTGGCCTGAATGGGTTACTCCAACTGGAATTCCATGATCATATTTCATCTCTTCCACAAGGAGAGTCAAAACTAAACTCCCACAAATGTTTCCATGATCCATCACCCAACACAGGGCCTGGACTCACCAAATGGAAACCACCATGAGTCCCCCCTCCACACACACACACACTCCCAGATTGGGTGGAGGATGTAATCCAAACAAAGCCATTCCCCAAACCAAAGCGAGGTAGTCTCCATTTCCGCCCGCCTCACAGCAGATACACAAACTAGAACTTTTAATGAGCCCCTATAGTATTAAAGCCTCTCTCAGTGAACTAAATATCTATCCAATTGGTAGAAATATGTGTTTTGCGTCAAAACAAACTAAAATTCTCGAGTGAAATTGTTTTTTTGGAGCTTTTTTTTCACATGAGGTGACTCTAATTCGTGTGGTGTAGCCTATAAACGATTATATCCACCAACTAGCAAATGTGTGTTATACCAACCAAATACGCCTTTCTAGCAATTTATTGTGTTGCCATCCTTTTTGCCATACTCTCCCCTAGTGGTGAAAATGCGTCGCTGGTTATTCATAAGGTATAACGGTGACTAAATGTGAGATGTTGCGGGGCTGTTGTTGGTTTATCCATTCATAATGGGCGGGCTGCCTAAACAAACCATACCCGCTAACCAGCGCGAGGAGGCGGTGATGCGTAGCGAAATAAACGCAATATGGATTATAAAAAACAATGTTTGCTTACCCAGAAGATGAAGTTGAACAAGAAAAGCATGTACTTGATGCATTTTGTGCAGCCTTCGACTCCCATGGTGGTCCGTTAGTCGGGTATTTTTCGGGTACTGAGTTCACAGGACAGCAGCAGTAGCAGGCCAGGTGTCGCGGCGTGTAACGGGCTGAATCTCGACTGGGAATCAGTACTAGGGCTCAGAGACAGAGGCAACACCCAACTCCTCCCTCCCTCACTGCCGCCGAGCACCCCCCGTAATACAGTCCCAACATGTAAAACACAGCGGACTTCCGGCCAACGCCTTCAGAATAAAACACCGATTTAACATGCCATAGCATAACATTTTGGGAGGGGTCTGTTTTGCTTCTGTAAATGCTTCCTCTCATACACAATTTCCCAGAAACTGACTTCTGTTTTACCAGTAGAGTATGGAAACTTGTTCGCGCCAAAAGAACAAAGGAAACATCTCATTCAATGATTTGTTGATTTGCTCTCCTCCAGCACGAGCTGTAAACACAACATCAACATATAATCTGAATCCCATTCCCACAGAGGGGATATTTACGAGACAGTACCGTAAAACAACAACAAAAAACAGTAGGCCTGCCGCCTATATGCTTAAGTGAACATTATTTAGTAAAGTATGCAGAAATAATAAACATTTCAGGGGTCATTCCAGAATTGGAGGACAATTTAGACATGGACACTTTTGAAAAATGAAACTTTTATTTTATATATTTGTGTTATGTAATTGAGAAAAACAGGTATTAAACCATCAGAAAAAGTGATTGGCCCAGCGCAGGCATCAAAGGTATAGTTTTTATTAGATGTTTTATTGGTTGTGTGCCATGCTTTGTTCAACCCTGTTACCAATACTCATCAAACTGAAAAAAGTACATTTCAAAATATTGTTAAATAAAATCATTTTCTATTATGTAAAGAAAGTCACATTCAAGTTAAATACTGATGTTATTTAGGATAACACTTGTTTTATATTAATTTAAGTAGCTTTTTAAATCTGTCTTGCACAACTTTTCAATAGTCAAACGTTTCATTTTACACATTTCTGTATTTAATGAAAAATATTTGCTCAAATATATTATATATACAATTACTCAAACTATTAAAAGGACAATAGTTGTAACCCTTTGGAGCTGAGAAAATAATTTAAGGTTATTTTAATAGAAAATCATATAGTAACAGGGTTGAAATTAGAGTAACAGGGTTGAAATTAGAGTAACAGGGTTGAATGGCTACATTGCTTTGATTTATCGATCATGAAATAAATTTGACAAATAAATACTCAGGATCACAGAAACGTTGTTTGATCATATTTTGTAGATATTTTTTAATAAAAGATTAACAGGATGAGTATCAATGATAAACATCATGTCAACACAACAACAAACTTCATATTTCATATAAAATATTCAGTGGCAAATGTATAAACGGGCTGTTTGCCAAGTTTTAAACAGATGAGATTGTTCTCACTCATGTTGCCTGGGAACAGATTTACTATGTAACATTGATTAATTTAATTTATTTATTAATGTTCAGGGCTAAAATGTGTCATTTAAATTCTTTAGACGTTTAATTGATGCAGTTTTACTGATTAATGTTACATTTTCTAGTGTAAACCATAGACTGTATATATAAATGGACGTAGGGTCCGTGACGTCACCCATAGAATTCTGCAGAGTTGCCGTGAAGCCCTTAGTAGGCGGAGTCGGCCACTAACGGCTCGACAGTGACGTTAGAGTTCAACTCCCGCCTTCTCCAGCCTGCTCCAAATAAGGGCAAAGAGGCGGAGCCGAGGCGGGACCTGCTGCCACCGAGCTGAAAGTTCCAGAGCTAGCTGAAGCTACCAAGCTAAGCTAACATTTACGTTTCTAAGGTAAGCGGACATGAAACTATAAATAATAATCTAAGTTATTGAGTTTTTAGCATAATACTTCAGAATCTTAAAACCCCTTAACGTTTGTATGCAATTGTGCTAAATTCAACACTGGAATCAAGCAAATATTAATATGTTTGCATGACATTAGTTATTTATATTTTGATATCACTTAACTATACGTTTAATACATTTAAGTCAAGCTAAGGTACATGTGATGGTAGCTAGTTAGCGCTCTTACCTGTGAGGCCTCCTCCAAACAGCATAATAACCAGACTATATCATTAAAACTAAGTACCAGTTCTAGATCATTGACTTTAGACAAACAATTCAAAAGATAAAATGTATTTAAAGACCAATCTTTATTTGAATTTGCCTCTTAACCTGAGATATTAGTTATACAGTAATAGTATTGACAATCTAAAAAAACTGAGCAACTCAACAGTCAACTTTATGTTTCTTATTGTCTAAAGCATTTATTATTTTAATTTTCCCCCTCTCATATTCAGTGTGGACGGATTGAGACAGTCTGGTGTCCAGAGAGCAGCAGAGACTTCAGGGAGAAACCTCCGTGTGATGGACGTCCTGTCTGTTGGTTTGGAGAGGACTGAGGGTCTTTCCTCTGCGAGGAGGACCAGGCCTGATGGAGGAGCCCATGCTGGGCAAAGCTGATACCAACTGCACAGGCCTAGTCTGTCACTTTATTTGACTAAATGTGTTTACATTTAATAGGTTTACACCTTCTGTCCATATGTGCTTTTGGTTCACATTTCAATAAATTGTAATTGTATTTGCACTCCTTTTGTCCATTATTCTTACTGAAAATGTTAGATTACACATTCACATCTGACTGAAGATTGGCCCCATTTATTTATGACGTTGCAAAACAAGGTACATGTTGTGAAGCTCATAAAGTGAGGCAAATAGAAATAATCAGCTGATGGAGTGTAGATGTGGAAATAGCTGCATTCGATCAGCTGAATGTTTTTACAATAAAAGTAGTTTCTTAGTGAATGTCCTGTACTGGTCTTGAAATCTCATAACACCAGCTTTTAATGTTCCTCTTGGATGTTCTTCTGGACCCTCAGAGAAGGAGAAAATGTCCTGTCTTTCAGGCATGTCCTTTCCTAACAAAAATGACAGGAAACATAAAACATATTATTGCAGAACAAGTGTGTTATTTATGAAAGCGGTGTGTTTGTGTGTTTAGGGGCTGTAGATATAATTATTTTGTAATTGTAATGTTTTTTTTTATTTCAACAATGAGCTACAAAGACAATCAGATTATGAATTGATTGATTGATTGAAAAGTTTATTAACAGCTTGTATATTGGGTACAGTACAGTACAGCTCAAAACATACAATTGTTAAGGAGATGCAGACCAGAGAAAGACTTTCGTCTTGTTTACATCAGGGTCCCCCATTTCCAATTCATCATGTCATTTAAGACATATAAGACATATTTGACATACAGATGGCTTATTTACAATTTACATACAGGTGGTTTTTTACATACAGATTGCTTATTTACAATTTTCATTTTAGATTTCGTTCTAATACATCCTAACCGGATATTTAAGACATACCAAGTCTACAGATATACAGCTAGTAACAGAGTCTAAAATGCGAGTATATACATAGATGGGGGGGGGCATAATTGCGAAACGTGTATTCCCCCTTTTTTGTGCCAAATCTGGGTTTCACATGATTTGTGGAGCTCCCTCTGGTGTTATGATCATGGTATTCCTTGACCTTTGGGAATCATTTTGACATGTACATGGGTACCATAGAGGTGTAGTGGATCTTGTAGACCAGGCCCATAGCAAGAAGCTGTACTCTGTCGTCTACTCTAAGCCATCCTAGGTTGTCAAAGTGGGCAGAGGTGAGGTGGGTTCTAGATGAAAGGTCAAGCAGTAGTCTGACCAGTTTATTTTGCGATGTTTGAAGTTTTATTTTTAGCGCCTTGGAGGTGCTATGGTACCATGACGTGCAAGCATAGTCATAGTACCCTTGAATGAGTGCTCCTGCCAGAGTCTTCAGGGTGTTTTTGTTTACCAGAGAGGAGATCCGGTATAGGAATCTAGTTCTTTGATTGACTTTTTTTATTACATTGGATGCCATTTTGTCACAGGAGAGGTTTGCCTCAAGAATAGATCCTAGGTATGTAATTTCCTTCTTACTTGTGACAATAATGTCGCCCACTGCAACTGAGAAGTCGTCGGATTTGCTGAGATTATGTTTCGAACCGAAGAGAATGGACTCTGTTTTACCCAGGTGTAATGATAATTTATTATCGGCGAGCCAGGTGCAGATTCTGCCGAGCTCGGAGCTGAGGGTTTTTTCAACCTGCAACCTGTTCCTGTCAGAGACCAGCAGGGCTGAGTCGTCCGCGAACAGGAACAAGTTGCAGTCACATGCTGATGACATGTCATTTACATAAATTAGGAACAGTAACGGACCTAATATGCTTCCTTGTGGAACACCACTGTGAATGAACAGTATGAAGTTCAACAACATTGAAATATATGTTATTATCAAAATAATATTTAACTGTTATCAAAACGTAGTGCAGCTGTAGAAGCTTGCTCTGTTGTCTCACTGAAAGAATCACTTTTACCACGTTTTTTACAGACAATATTGAGAGATAAATAGTAGCAGTTCTCACTATGTGTTAAATATCTTTGCCTTCAATACATTAAATTAGAAAGCTGACAAAGCCTTATTGCTAAATATCTAAATGTAACTTTTTGCATGGAAAAAACCCTCAACTTCACTGATGTGTAGGTGATCTAGTATTTAGTATTGTTTAATGGAATGTATATCAGTGTATTCAAGTCAATACTTCATTCATTTAAACCAATATCTTTCTTGATTCTTTGTACAGTATGAAAAAAGAGTCTTTGTACCTGTGCTGAAGTTGACTGCTGTGAGGAGTCCAGTTCTGTCTCTCACTCTCTGGTCCAGCCTGTCTGCATCACCTGGACACCTTAAACAAACAGATATATATATATATGTAAAGTACCATGTGTACAAACAATATAACTGATTCTCTTCTGTTGAACATGTTGGATTGTGTATTGTCCGAGTCAGGGGCCTTTTTATTTTACTGTAACTTTGGAAGTTGTGTTACCAATGCTTACTGTTTATTTGATACCCATTTGGTAATGCAATTAATAAAAACTTCAAGGTTTGGGTTCGTTCTTCAGATGACTGTGACGTTAACGTGTAAGCTCAATAATGAACTCCAGCTCAACCAACCATATTGTAATATCTAAGTAATCATCTTGAAATATGACATTAATAATTGTAATATACACACATCTTATTGTGAGGTTGATTTCACATACACTACTTCGACATTAGCTTGTC